CCTTTGTCTTGTATCACCCGTGAATGTCCTTTGTGTAGCCAGCCTATTATTTAGGAGCCTTGTCTTTCTTCTGTGAGAGTAGCTTGCGTGAGAATTATTCCTAAGAGTAGTGTGCAGAGCTCTTCTTCTTCTTCTCCTTTCTTAGTGTGAGAGTGAGAGAGGTACCTCAGTGGTTGGAGATAAAACATGATGAGGTGTTGTGGTATAGCCTAGAGTGGTGTGTGTGAGCTATTGTGGAGGTTAGAGACCTGAGCCGGAAAAGAATCGATCCTCAACAGTGGTATCAGAGATAGATACATTAGGGAGCATGAGAGAAATAATAAGTTCAAAGTGTTTGACTATATTTCCTCTGAGTTTGCTTTAAATGTCCTTAATTCTCTTTTAATTAAAATCTTTGTGATATTTGGTATGCTATTTCTTTGTGTGTTGAAAATGTGATACCTAGTGATTATGTGAGCTCTACCTGTGCTAGTTATAGAAATAATATTGTTTCTTTTATTGTCTTTGTACTTGTCTTATGTGGGTGATGGATTAGTTGGAATCTCCAACTTCTCTCGGTTGCTTGCTTGTGTGGTCTATTAACATGCGTTGTGTTTGTTAATAGTTTTGTGATGGTTTTGGTTCTGAACTCGAGGACCGATTGGTAGAGTTCAGTCCATCGTGAATTGGGTTTGTGACCGGGCTAAACTTGCAAGTGTACAAGTGCCGATTTAGTAATAAATTCCGGTAAAATACCGGGTCGAATCCACAGGGAAACGTTGTTTAATTCAAGTCCGAAAGTAGATGACTTTAAATAAATAAATGAGTAAAGTGCAGGGATTTTGAGTTGTGTGTTGTTGTGAAAACAACAACTTGGTTCTTCTTTTTAATTTTCAGAGATATAACTTAAATTAATTTGATTAAAGTGATTGATAACAACAACTAAGGCTTCGGGAATCACTTAAATGCTTTAATAGGGTTGAATATTAGTTCTTTACCAATAATTATGAATACGATGTCGCTAATATATTCTCAACTCCGGTTAAGGCAGCGAGAGCGTGGTTTCCGTTACGTGTAAGTCCCGTTACGGCTTACATTCATCTACCGAAAACCCCGTTGAATATCAAGACATCACACCCGTATCATATAATACTGGATATATTTCTATTCTCGGTAATATATATGTTTATCCTTTAATGTTCATAGTTTAGACCTCAACGTTAATTGCAAGCATAAACTAAGTTTAACATACTTCTATGTTGTACACCATAGTCATAAACAATCAAAATGTAAAGGATAAATCACAATTTATTGGTTTAGAACTTTTATCAAACACCTAGTGGGCATAGAAGTTCATCCCTAGCCTTAGCTAAGAACTTAGCCTCTAATGCTCATATTAATTACAAAAGTGTACCTAAGAACAATGAAATACAATAACATACAAGAAATAATACCTAGAACCAATTGTAGAGGAGAGAAATGACTTCTTCTCCAACACTTCAAGAAAATGCAAAAAGGGAATATAAAAACTGAAATTTAATCTTCAAGAATGGAATGATGATCTTGTTTGATGAATTGGGGGCTTTATATAGGCTAAAGATTGGCATCTTTTAGTCCATTCGAGCCCAACAATCAAGCATGGAAGAAATATTTGATCAGATCATAAGGAAAGTGGGTTTTTCCCATCAAGATCTTGCTGCACGTCTCCATGTTTTGTGCTGAATCGGGGTTAACCGGCGCCGGTTATAGGGGTGGACCGGCGCCGGTCTTGCTTCGATGCTGAATAATTGTGGAAAAAATGGTGAAACCGGTGCCGGTTTTAGGGTGGACCGGCGCCAGTTTTCCCCTGCACTGCAATTCTTCATTTTTCGCTCCGTTTTACGCCCGTGGTTGACCCCGAAGTGTCGGTTCTCGGCCCCTTTCGATTGTTGACTCTTGTGTCTTCATCTTTGACGTATTTGTGCGGTTTTTACTCAAAATAGGATTTATACCTGCTTTGTCTTTGAATATTTGTACAGATAATCATAATTACCTATATAAAATATAGGTAGCTATTGTGCTTATCAGTTTGCATGGTAAGCTTGGTTCGAAAGGGAACTTTGTGGTTCTCATCTATTACTTGTATGATCTGCATGATGTACTTGTCATGGTCCAACGATGATGAGTCTCCTCACAACCTTGTATTGTTACTCTACACCACTTATGACCAATTAGGTGGAGAATGTTGGAGGTATTGGTTCTATCAAGGTCTCCCTTCCACTTTATTATTGACTTGCACCCCATGTTTACTCCCACTTTGATACCCCTTTTTTGAATCTCTCCTAACCAATAACATGACCATTTTGACTTATGTGGAGTGACCCCTTTGATCTGTCCGCTGCAGTCCTCCTTTGTCTTTGTATCACCCGTGAATGTCCTCTGTGTAGCCAGCCTATTATTTAGGAGCCTTGTCTTCCTTCTGTGAGAGTAGCCTGCGTGAGAATTATTCCCGAGAGTAGTGTGCAGAGCTCTTCTTCTTCTCCTTCCTTAGTGTGAGAGTGAGAGGGGTACCTTGGTGGTTGGAGATAAAACATGGTGAGGTGTTGTGGTCTAGCCTAGAGTGGTGTGTGTGAGCTATTGTGGAGGTTGGAGACCTGAGCCGGAAAAGAATCGAACCTTAAAGACATATGATTTTGGAAAAAGGAGAGGAATGAAACGAAATCATCAGAAGGAGAAGGTTGTTACTCGTTAGCGACGATAACCATGAGTAGTAAGCCCTCGAATCCTGCCAAGGCCACCTTCATAATTCACTACCCCAACACCGGCGGCCTTTATACGAGTTTAGCGGCGGCACGAAAAACATTGACGAAGATAATTCGCCCTGGCTGGAGAAATAGAAACAAAGATGGTAAGAGAAGGAGAGAAAAGAGCTGTGCAATCCCTGGATTTGGGGTTTCTGCTGCGTCTCCATTGAAGAGAAGTAATGAGAGAAGAAGAATTAGGTGTACATGGAAAATGAATAAGAAAAAGAAGGGTAAAATAAAATAAAAATTCCACATAGGTCGCACACTCGCACATAATGAATTGATACCGATTACCTGGAAGTAACCTGCTGATAATGCCATTTGACTTTTTTTCCATTTGTTGAAGGATGCAATTGGATGTTTTTAGAGTACAAGGACTTAATTGACACATTGTATATAGTAGGAGGACATATTTGATAGTTTTCCCTTTTTATTTAGATTGTTTTCAGTCCCAGAACACAGCAGACCAAGTCAGACTAGACTAGACCAAACTTGCATAGTTATAAAATACACATAGATCAAACATTTACTAAACCAAATCAGATCAGATCAGACTACACAAGATCAAACTAGAAAATTCAAGTCCAACTAAAAACGTCCTTAGTTGGGGTTGCTTCATTTTAAAAAGGATGTTGTTATCTTAGGCAATGGTCAAAATGGAAAAGCACCATAAATTTTAGTAATAAAAAACAAAAAATTAACAATTTTGAAGAGATGTAAAATAAAATGTACTATCATCAAATTTCATTTTAAAATGTATATATATAATTATATACATACATACATATATAGGGGTGAGAACAAATCTTAGCCTTTAATCACTTGTAAATGGATGGATTGGATGAACTTTAATCACTAGACACGGACTCAAATAATGTGCAAACGTTTATGGAACAAAGTGGATATCAAATGAATAAAAGTGCACTCGTAAGAGTTAAAAAAGATTGCCAATTTTTTAAAATTTGTGCACATTTTATGATGTACTGTTATACACTTTTGTACTCTGCATGTACACTTTTTGAATATTCTGATACACTTTTCGTATAATATTTTTACTAAAAGTTCATAATTAACTTTTTATTTGATCCATACTATATATATATATATATTGGTTCAAGTGAGAAATGCATCTAATGTAAAAAATGAGAATGAATCTCAACCGTTAGATTTACGATATATATATATATATATATATATATATATATATATATATATATATATATATATATATATATATATATATATATATATATATATATATATATCGTAAATCTAACGGTTGAGATATATATATATGTATGTATGTATATATATATATGTATATATATATGTATATATATATATATATATATATATATATATATATATATATATATATATATATATATATATATATATATATATATATATATATATGGTAGTGTTCTCCTAAGGTAGGCCTAAAACTTTGAAGTTTAGGTTTCTTTCATTTGAAGTGCTTCTAGGTGGAATATTTTTATGACATTTTGTGTGAATGTTCTCCACGAAGTGCATGTTATGTCCATCAAATTTCAACTTCAAATTCTATCGGTAAGTCAATTAACTAAATTATTGAAAAAAACTGCATGTTATAAGTATAAAAAACTGCTCACATTTAAAAAAATTATTTAAGTGACTTCCCGATTACATTTGAATCTAAAATTTGGTAAATATAATATACACTTCATGGAGAACATTTTCACAAAATTTCATCCAAAAATTCGTCTCGAAAGCCCCTCAAGTGAAAGTGGCCTAAAACTTTAAGTTTTAGGCCCACCTTACATGAACATTTTCCTATATATGTCAGGATTGATTCTACTACAAACAGGTTCCCAGGTACAAAGTAAGAAAGCATCGAGCCGTCCAAAACGTAAAAATGAGGGCTGCGATTGTGCAGTCCAAAATGACTATAGTGAGGACGCAAGCAGGGAATTAATTTATATGGGAGACTATCCACATGTTTTAATATATACAGGGGCTCTGTTGTAATTTAATATGGCCGCCTAGAAGTTGATATCTCTGCACGATGTCCATTATACCGAGAAGACCGCCATTTCCATTTATGAAGATTTTCACTTTTTCAATGCGGAGCGGTTACTCAAATCAAGCATCTGCATGTGCGAAAATCTTTCACTTTTCAAGCATGAGTACTTTGTATCCCGTTGGTAGTGCGAGACGAAGAGGAGACGGACAAGGAGAAAGGAAGTACAAAAGATGTTAGTGCGGCAACAGGTATGCGACAAAAGGTTTTTTTTCGTGGAAAATATTAAATGTGTTTATGCTTGAAGTAATGTTAGAGAACTCCAAAAGTGCTATTGTAATATGTTGAAGTGAAATCGTTTGTGGCCTATGTTGTTATATGAGTAAGCGGGTAAATATATGTAGTTCGAATATGCTGTAGTACTGTAATTTGTGGCGAAATGTGTTACCAATGAATTCTACATGTCCCGTAGATGTTTTTAAGAATATATTTTTGTGGTGTTGGAAAGTGAGATGTAAATTTAAAAAAGTGAGATATAGTGTAATAGAAGCTATCAAAAGTGAATGCTAGTAATCTAAATTTGTAGGTTGGCGTGTTAAATAGAAAGCACTAAAGGGAAACTGAGATGTGAATCCTAGTCCTCATATTTTTTATTTTCATTACACCTAGGTTTTTTAGTTTTAACAATGTGTATGTGGGGTTGTAGTAAATTTGAGATGTGAGATTCCAAAAAGTCAGAAGAAATGTGCTGGAATTATAATCGAGGTGCATGATGAAAATAAAATTGATAGGATCTAAAGTGATCCTTATAGCAGTGCATTGAGTTGGAGTGTAATAGAACATAAGAAAAGTGAGTGCAAGTAATGTAAAATAGCAGGTACTCAGGTTGAAGAATGTAAATGTGTGTCTCATTTAAAAATGGATATTGGTAGTAAATGTTTGGGTGAGTACGTTATTTTTTTATTAAGTTCTTGTGTGGGGGGTAACAACAGTGAAAAGTGAGAAACAAAAAGTGAGAACCAATGGGATGAAAATGAAACTGATATAGGGAATGCTATGTGAGCATCAATATGATGTTGGACTGTAGTAGAAAGTAAATAAAGTGAATACGAGGATTGTAAAGAAGTAGGTAGGCATGACATTGAATGTAATAGGAAAAATGATTCGTAATCGTTTTTGTTTTCGTAGTAAATGAATGCGTACAAAGTCTGGGGTTGCACTTTTGACTGAAAATGCATATAGTGGTCAGTAGTGGTGTACTGTTGATGTTAGTTATTTTATTACAATTTATTGCAAAACCAAATCAGATCTTGAAAATGTGAATGTTTGGTAAAAGAGGAATGTTTGAAAGTATGCATGTATGGAATAGTTGAAATATGCGCATGAAAAGTGTGTATAATCTGTAACTAGCATTGTTGTAGGTGAAGTTGGAGCAGAAGTTAAACATAAGAAGAGGAAAGGTGAGGAGAAAATGGCTGGAAATCAAAAGCGAAGGAATGTTGAAGTTGCAACATGCACACGCGGGAGGAGGCATACAGAAGCTGGATGTTCAAGCACGATAACAAAGCAATGCACAAACACTCAAGTGCAGGTACAAGAAGACAACTGTGATGACGATTTTGTGTTAACACCAAACCTTCCTGCAAAACAGAATGATGGGGCAAAGAAAAGTGCAAATGGGAAGAGAAAAGGAAAGATAAGAACATTAAAAGCACCATATAGAGCATTCAAACAAGGTCAACATCGCAGCTTTTGGTGAAGGCAATGGGAAAGTTGAATCCTGCTCAAATTGAGGAGGTGAATAAGATGGGTTTTGGAGGGCTATTGAGTCTTAAGATCCAAGAAATTCCATCAAAACGGGCATTTTGGGTTTTGAAGAATTTTAATGCAACAGATAATACCATTCATTTGGGTGGTAAGAAGAAGATTCATGTAAACGAAGAAGACGTCGCACATATCATGGGATTCCCGCGTGGACAACATTTGATTGTGTGAAAAAAAATCAGAAGATTGTCCATTGATTTCTGAATGGAAAGCGTTGTTTGGAGGCAGGGGTGACCGGGTTAAACCTGCTCAAGTGTGTGACGAAATGCTGAAATGCACAAATGGAGGAGATTGGTTTAAGAGACACTTTATCATTTTCATGGTTTCTATTCTATTAGACAGCACAACAAATGGATATGCGAATCCACTCATCTTGAGCAATTTAGTGAACGTAGACAGAATTAGAGACCTGAATTGGTGTGACTACGTAATGAGTACGTTGATCGATAAGAGACGTATATGGGAGAAGAATGATAAGAAAAGTTTTACCGGGCCTTTATTGTTCCTTATGGTATGTTATTTATTTACATGAAAATATATCAAAAAATTATACTATTCATTAATAGTAATGTGTGTATATTTATATATTGTTTTAGGTTTTGTATGTGGACAGGGTATACTTGTACCGAAGAGAGATTGATAGAGGGATTCCAACATGGAAAGGGTGGACAACAACACCGCTAAGAGCCAGAGAGACGGAAGAAATTAAGGCGGGCAAATTTGGTTTGGGCCGTGTAGATGGCCCATATGAAGCAAGAAGCAGTTTGGAAGTGAATGCAGACAATCGGGAAGGAGAAAGAAATGAATAATTCTGACAGAGAACAAACAAGAGGCAAGGAAACAAGTGAGGTAAGTTTAAATGCAGTGTGAACATATTGTGTAAAAATAAAAAGGTCAAGAGCATGTGAAGCATTAGAATGATATAGTGCAAACCTAGAAATGTATTACATATTTGTGTGGTCTGAAAATTTTTCTGATAGTGGTTGACATATGTTTTAGAGTATTTAACCTGCGTAGATAATGTATGGTTTGTACAGGATTTCATGGAGCAATTTGCCTTGAAAACAAACCTTCTCGCAACAACATCAATTGAAATTATCAACATGGTGCAACAAGCACCGGAAGTTGTGATGGAGAATGACAGTTTCAAAAAGATGCAAGAAGCAGCTAGGAGTATTTTAGGACTGACGGGTGAGCTTAGTTCCGATAGAGTGACAAGTAATGCAGCAAGCCAGAGAGAAATGCATTGGGACGATGACTTTTGGTCCAACGAAAACAATATATTGACATTCATAAAGGCTGAGAATGCATTGGTCAAAAGAGCAGAGTACAAAAAGAAAATAACTGAGATTCCAAGTTTCAGTCTAGGGATGACACAAGAAACAGAGAACACAGGAATTGAGAGCACCCGAGAGAGGGAAGAGGAAATGTGTGAAGAAGCGGAACTTGATGGACATCTGCACCAGAATGAGGTAAGGGTTAAAAAATTCCCAAAAAAATGGAATGGAGGTGAAAAAATTCAAATTAATAATATCTAACAAATGACTTAGTAGGAGACATGGGTTGTGTATGATGAAGGTCAAAGAAGTGAAAATGTTTCTGAAAATGAACAAGTATGTAGCATGATTTACTTAAGGCATTTAGTTAGCGTAATTGAAGTGTAAATCGAATAATAAGTTTAAATAATTTCAGGAAATGCTATTGATCAAAGAAATAGTGGAATCTGAAGGAGGGAAAAAGCCAAAGAGAATGACCCGGGCCTCATAACTATTGAAGTCACCCTACATGAACAGAGTTGTTGCTGCTAGGGACAGTTCAGGAGCACTTAGAAAGGGCAGCAACATGATGGGCACTACTGAATGACAACGCATATAAGTACGTGCACAAATTAATGGGAAGAAATGAAAATATATATTTCATTTGTTATTTATACTTATTTTTTTCTCCAGGCTTGAAGTAATGTTCAAATACGATAAGGTGAAGCGTAAACGTGAGGAATTGGCTAGTCTGAGTGAAGATAAACACGTCGCAAGAAGCGTGATCGATGTTTGGGAAACAATACTGAACAAAATGGAAAAGTATAGGAGTTCAGATTCTCCAAACCGGGTTTTCACAAAGGCTTTCCCATGTGTAAGTTTCATGTGTGTGATATAAATAATTATGAAATAGTGTGATTGTATATGTAATTGCATATGTTGTGTAGCTATATACGTTAGAGAAAACATTGAGTGATGAACAAGCATATGGGTTATTTGGAAATCATTTGGAAGCGGGATCGGAGGAAGTGAAAGAGAGAACAACAGTTAAAGAAGTTGATGTGGTAAGTTAGTAATGGAACTATAGAAGAATTTAATAATTTCCACTTTTTGTGTGACTATATGCAGTTTATGAATCCAATGATGCAAGACAGGCATTGGTATGTTATTAGTTTCAACGTGAAGACTAAGAGGTTTGACGTTCTGGACTCATTAGCGGCAAAGACTATCATGCCAGATATGTATGGAGATAGCTTGGAAAGACTAGTAAGGACTCCTACCTATGTTATTCTTCCCGAAATATTTATTATAATGTATAATTAATGACAATATTTTACTCCTGACTGCCAAATAGTTGAAGTACTATGCATTTAACATGATAATATTTATTATAATGTATAATTAATGACAATATTTTTCGACCATTACATCACAGATTCGCATTTCAAGAATTCCTAAAGTTGTTTAGGGTTTTTTTTACAAGAATATTACTAAAATAAAACTTATTTACATAAATATGACTATTCATTCCTACAACGTGGTGTTGTAGTAACTTAAGTTCAAAACTTGAACATGAATTACTATGATTTCATTACTACTTTAGTAACTAGTCATATTTTTGTAAATAATCTTTATTTTGGTCATATTCATGTAATTATTTCTAAAAAATTTCAAACTAGTCATGAAAATTGTAAATTAAAAATACATACACTTCTGTTCCCAAAATTGGTAAAGTGTATATTATCTCTCCCGTATAGTCATATAATTCAATATTTCAATCTTTTCTAATGTATCCCAAAAATAGGGGAAATTGTCCTAAATTGGAGTAAACAACTAAAATAATTGCATAAATATGACCAAAATAAAGATGATTTACAAAAATATGAGTAGTTACTAGAGTAGTAATGAAATCATAGTAATTCATGTTCAATTTTGAACTTTTAGTACCACAACATTACATTGTAGTAATGAATAGTCATATTTATGTAATTAAGTTTTATTTAAGTAATATTCTTGTAAAAAAACCGATGGGTTTTTACAAGAATATTACTAAAATAAAATTTGCTTACATAAATATAACTATTCATTACTACAACGAAGTGTTGTGGTAACCTAAGTTCAGAATTTGAACATGAATTACTATGATTTCATTACTACTCTAGTAACTAGTCATATTTTTGTAAAACATCTTTATTTTGGTCATATTTATGTAATTATTTCTAGGAATATATACGATGTATGTGATATAGTAGAGATGAATATTAATTTTCTCAATCAATATAAAAACTTTAAATTACATAAAAATAAAAGGTAGTAGTAATGATCAGTAAAACTATATCCCTAACATGCAACAAATTGCAAAATACATACATAAAAAACATAATACTATAATAGGTCAATATAACTATATTATTACAGGCAATGAATGTATAAATGCATTTATAAACAAAAGAAATCATAACACAAACAATAATCCCCAGCATAAGAAAACCAGAGACTATCCATAATATTAGGATCAATGCTTATCAATTAATAAATAAAATTTAATATTTTAATTAGTTCGATTTATTCGATTTGGTCCAGTTTTGAAGGGTAAAAACCATAACCGAACCAAAAACTATGATTCGGTTCGTTTTTTACACTCGATTTCATTTTTAGCGATTTGATTTAATTTTATTGTGATTCAATTTATTATGATTCGGTTTCCTATTTTCTATTTCAACAATGCTTAATGTATCCATTCTTATACCCACATTATACTCACCGTGTTTGTGAAGTGTTTTTTGTATGTGAACCTGATTCACAAACAAACAATATTTTGTTTGCCCAAAATATTATTTTTGAACTGGGGTTCTACAAAAAACAATACACAAACAAAACATAGATGGGTACAGGCTGAAGTCCTGCGCTTCAAGCCACACGGCAATCTCGAATTCCCGGTATCCAATCGGCAACCGGGTCTGCAAGAGAGGGAGGGACGCCGCCTCCGCGCTAAGCATCTACCGCGCGGTGAGGAATCCAGTTACTAGTTACTACTGTCTACTGAACCAGTTAAGCAGGCGAGGAATCAAAGGCACAAGCGAGCTGTAGGAGTCGATTCTCGCCACTTCATTTTTTATGGAGGAATCCAAATTGACTTTTACCTCATCTTGGGAATACTTCTGTTTATTCTGCCTTCGCCCTATTTCCGCAATCATCTTTGTCCTCTCTTTACTCCTATTTGGTATTTCCCAGTCTCCATTGAAACAAATCTCGGGCCAAATTGAAAAGTTCATTTTTTTAATATATATTGGAACAAAAAATTTGAACCAACTTAAGTGGTGGTCCGTTACGATGTGTTTGTCGCAGGTTGGTTCCTGGCGTGGAAGTTGGTGTTGGTTCATGTTCCTCTTATCCAAGAAATCTTCGGTTTGAGGAAGAAGCCCATCAAGCCCAAACCAGAAAATCGCAGGCGATTCACCCAGTTTTACAACGCCCGTAATTCTGCAAGTTTGGATTAAGGTATTTAGCTTTTGACAGCACAGTTATTACAAATTGATTTATCTTATGAAATTATTATATGGCTGATAATTCCAATAAGTATCATAATTTTCTCGTAATAGAAGAAAGGTTTGAAATTGCAAAACAGAATACCATGTTTACCATTGACAGTGTTCTATTTGGACAGTAATTAGGCCAGTTTAATAAATTTTGTATATGGGGTGGATATGGAGTGAAAGATTTAATTTTGTATTCCCAATTGTAGACAATATAGGGGTGAATATATCGGTTTTTTGTCCGTATTTGGTTCGGGATGAAACGGATGAGAGGAATGATTAACAAACAAAAACTATACGGAGTACTATGTTTTGGTTTTGTTCGGTTCAATTTGAATTTGTTACGGAGTACTTTTTCAATGCATACTCCGTTTTTTAGTTGCAAGACTCATTTTCACGTTTGCGAATGCACTACTTTAACCATCTATATATTTCATTCCTTATTAGTTAAAATAAAAAAAAACAGTTTATGACAATTTAAAATGGGAGAAATGTAACAATATTTTCAAAAATTTTAACTTTACATTAATAGATAAAATGCTGTCAAGTACTACATGTGAATGGTGTAAAATTCAACATGTTGCATTTATTTAAGACCAAAAATGACACCAAGGTTTATTCAACATGTTTGTTCAGTTTAGTACGGTTGGAAGAAATGCTATGAAACTCAAACTGAATCACGTGTGATTCAGTTCGGTCAAACCAAACTAATTTCCCCACCTCTAAGACAATATATAGAATGTTAATGTATAGTTGTCTGCCACTTCTGCATCAAACACTCAAACCTATCTATTTCTATAGGAACTAGTAAACATCTCATTTCTTTTTTGAAAGTCACAGTTGGGTTACCCTGTACAATCTCAATTAGCCTGGGGAATCAAGATATATATGAACAAGTATTCTCTGTACAGTCTGAAAATAAAAAATAAAGTGCAATTAATCGTGCATTTTTAAACAATGGTCCACTAAGGTGAAATTTGCCACGCTCACACTATTTTCGACCATAGTCATAGCTGACCTGTAATGGTTGAACATAAATATCTAAAGTCGTTTCAAAATAACAATACAGAGTATAATTCATCAAATAGATACTCCGTCACGAAATAATTGTCTTTATTTTTTCCTTTTCAAGATGTCCCTAAATAATTGTCTTGTTTGCTGATAGGAACACGTACAATAACACTAATAAAAATAATAGAATAGTATTGAATAATGTGATAGTGTATAAATGAGGGTTCTGGGCCATGTAAATCAGGAATAAATGGGCCGCCCCTTAAAAAATAAGAATTACTATAAGAATAGGGAATGAGGGGAGAGGAGAGCAGGCTGTTTGACAGTTAGAAAATAGAAGTGGAGAACTCTGGCACTCTCGAACTTGCCCAGAAACTGTTTCCCTGTACATTTCTTACATTTCCTACTGTGAATATTGAATATACCTTCAATTTCTTGATTTTCTTGTTAACTAGAATCTGTCAATCGTCTCACAGTTCACAAACGCGTACTTCGTCTCCCAATTCGCAGTCACAAACTATTTCTCTCAGTTCTCAGCGGTCAGCAACAGCCTTTCTCAATCTGCTGGTATCTTCATAAGCTATTAGTTCGCTTCCAAGTAAGACGTGATTGAGAGGATAATCCTTATTGTCGTCCTCAGTCAATTCTCACTGTTCGCCTTCTTCGTGGCAAGCCGTTTGTCTGAGTACGCTGGTTTCTGAGTCAAACACTCAAGTTTTCTCACTGTGGAGTTCAACCTAGGCGCAGAACACTGAGTTGAAACTGGTTGCACCATCAGTTACGGAATCTGACCCTGAAGAGGATGTTAATCAAAGATCTTCACCAGACAATATGGAAGGTGCTGAAGAGTGCAATTCAGATGTCCTTACCTATGATGCCTGGAGGTATGTAGTGCCCTAGACCGAAACCCAGAAGATTTTAAATCTTTGATTGGTAGAGCTCCGGAACTTGGATTGGATGTTCTAATGGAATTTATGCACCGTTGTTTACTAAACAATAGTTTGGAAGGGCTGAATAAGACTGATGGTTTCAGATTTGATGGTGTTC